AAAATCAATTTTATATTTAAAAATTGTAATATTATTAAATTTAATATTTGATAGTATAAACTTAATGTAATATATTTATTTTCATAAAAATTAAAATAAAAAATATGTGTTTAGAATTTGGGTAAGTATAATTTTTTTATTAAGTATTTTGATGAATCATCAACAAAGAGTATAGTGCTAAAAATGTGGTTGATACCATTTATAATAAATATGAGCAACAATGCGTAGGTTGCTGAAAATGTGGGTGGAAGTATAAAAATAAATATCAACAACATAGCTTTTCTTGGTAAAAGTTGAAAATCAACAACGTGACTTTTCTTGTTGAAAATTAGGCAAAATTCTAGTGTTGATTTCCGGCCATATTCCTCTTAATTTTTAGCAACATGAGCCACATTGTTGAAACCCTATCTTTAACAACGTGACTTATGTTGCTAAAGGAGGTGAGAAAATTCACCCCCCATTCCCACTTGATTCCGCATTCGGTGAGTGTTTTCAGCAACATAAGTTGCTGATACTATATTTTCAGCAACGTAACTCATGTTGCTGATACATCAGCAACAAAATTTTGATTGATAATATATTACCCACCAAGTCTTCTCCAACAAAACTTTTAGTAATCAAAACCATGTTACTGAAGGACTTTCAGCAACATGCTTCCATGTTGCTGAAAATGAGGATTTTAGTACTGCGGAAAAGGGGATAAATACACTAGAATTTATCTATCTCGCCAAGGAAATGTCTGATCCTGAAACCACCACCGTTACAGCTACTACTCACGAGGAGTCCCCGGCAGTAATGGAGCCCCAAGGCAAAGCTCAAGATTCGAAACCAGTGGATATCAAGGAGACGAAGAAGCTCAGCAACGTCGCGCTGCAAATATGGCTGCCGACTAAACAATTTTATTGGGTTGTAACTTTTTTTTATATATATATTTGATAAAAAATTGAAATACAAAGGGTTAATAAAAAAATTGTTTAGTGGATTTTACATTAAAAAAAATTGTGAAAAAAATTTTTTCCTTAAAAAATTGTAAAAGGAAAAAGTTTATTGATTGACAATTGTGTTAGGAAAAGTTTATCTTTCTTTTATTGTAATATTAATGTGTAAACATACATAAATAACTTTCTAAAAATAAAATTTTGAGAGAAAAAAACTTCCTCAACTAAATAAACCCTAACATTATATTTGGATTAAGGAGAATGAAAGGGAGAAAAATTATGTTCTTTCATTTCCCTCCATTTCCCTTCATTCCCTTTATTTGGATAACTAACTAAATTAAAAAAAAAATAAAGTAGAAAGAAAATTTTCATCTCCTCTCCTCTCTAATTTTTTTTAATAATCAAATAAAATTTTTTTTTCCTCTTCTATATTTCTCTCAACAACCTATTATTTCAAATGAAAAAAGTTCAATTTCTCTTAAATAAGATATTAAATTCAAATATTAAAATAGAACTAACACTGAGAAAACTTTCAATATGATTCAATTCCATATGATTCAATTCCAGATTAATCAAAATTTAATGTAACTTTTAAATACCAAAAAATTAATATTTATTTTCCCCTCTATTAAACATACTGCAAGTGTTACTTCCACCCTAAAATTAACTACATATACTTTTGTTTTCATATCCACTAGTTAATGAGTTCTTAAAAATATTATCTTCACCAATTTCTTTTTTAATCTTGATCATGGACACAAGAGTCAAAAAAGAATCTTTGACTCAACAGTACAATGTATGGCAACGTCGTCACCCCAACTATCAATAGCCAATTGATGGATTTTTTATTAGGAACCCTTAATCAAATATTATTTGTTGGGATTAATTTTAACTTGAACCTTAAACAAACAATTGATGATAATTGAGTGTTTTGCCTAAATGTAATATATGTGGTCAAGTTTGGAGTGTGTATATATGTGTATCAGAGTCAATGCAGCTTAATTTATCTTTTGCCACTCGTGAGCCATGAAATATATATGATGCAAATTAAAATCTTTAATAAATATCAAAACATCCAAACTAAGTATATGTTATGAATCCAAAACAGCTTGGATGTGAAGGGAGTCATGGTGAATGTTGCTCTGCTTGGTGGTCGACAAGTCATTTTAGTGGATAATTCGGAAGGTGGCCTGGAGGAGTTTCTTAACCGAAATAGAGAATTGGTGGAATTGTGGTTTGAATGGATAAAGCCATGCTCTTTATCCACAATTTCTTCATTGTGTAGATTGGTATGGCTTCGGCTCAATGGGGTTCCGTTGAAGGCATGGAGTGAGAGATGCTTCACAAAATTAGGGAGCATAATTGGAGAGGTGATACTTGTTGACGAGGATACGAGGAGTAAATCATTTTTATGCAAAGGAAAGGTGTTGATTTTGAGTGCAGAAAAGAGGAAAATATCAACAACCATTTGTTTGCGAGTTGATGGTGAGGATTTCCCAATAGCAGTGTCAGAGGAGGAGTGGAGGATGGATCCGGACTGGTGGTTGGCCGAAGAATGTCGAAATCCAACCACTCAACCCAGTTCGGAATATTCCAGTAGCAAGGATGAAGAAGGTGATGACGGTTACAGTGATTTGAATTTGAATTTCAATGGAAATGGCTTTCTGTGCGAAGATGGCAGAAAGTTGGCCGAAAATCATGTTGTAACGGATTTGGTTTCATATAAAGTGTTAAGTAGACAAGCAGAGTCGAAGGGAGAAGAAGCGGCTGGGATTGTTGGCCTAAATGGGCTAGAAGAATTTGGGCAGGATAAGGGGAATCAGGTTGGTCTGGGAGTTGTTGACAATGTAATTGGGTTGGAGGAAGCACAACCTATTTGTGGGTTCATCTTTAAAACCCAAAAGGCTTCTACACAGCTGCAACAGATGGCGGTGACGGGAAAAAAACTCAGAACCCTGAGGGAGATTTATGCAGGGGTGGCTAGAGTGGAGGAATCGATGAGAAGGGGCACTAGTTGGATTACGGCATGAACTAAAAGTAGAAAGGATAGGGGGATACCAGCAACGCAAGAAGAGGAGAGGCCAAATCTGTAGAAGGAAAGCTGCTTTGTGTCGGATGGCTGCGTTAAGCACAGAAATGGGATTATTCGGCGGCAATTGGAGACAAAAGAAGTGAGGGAACTATTTGAGTTGGGGCAAAGGTTGGGGATTCAGTGTCAACAAATAGAGGAAGAGGTGATTTCTCGATTGGCAGCTTTGGAGGAGAGGGATGAGGTTAATTCCAGGGGGGCCTGAAGCTTGGGTGCTGGCGAAATGGAGGTTTGTGAGGTACAATTTTTCTTTATGAAAGTAATTTCGTTTAATGTTAGAGGTTTGGGTAGTATGTTAAAGAGAAAGGAGATTGCCAAGTTAGTTAGAAATGAGAGGCCAGATTTTCTATTTATTCAAGAAACTAAATTAGATGAAGTGGAAGGTGCGTTATGTAGAGCATTGTGGAATTTAGATGATTTTGACTGGGTTATGAAAAAATCAGTGGGTAGTTTGGGTGGTTTGTTGTCTATATGGAATAAGAGAAATTTTGTCAAACAAAGAGTGATAGAAGGAAACAGCTTTATTGGAATTTCGGGTGAATGGGGAAGTCAGCACACGACATGCAACTTTGTTAATGTGTATGCTCCATGTGATAGGCAGAGGAAGGCTTCTTTGTGGGAGGAGATTAGTGGATCGATTTTGGAAGAGGGTGGTAGATGGCTTGTGGCAGGGGATTTTAATACAGTTCGGAATGTCACAGAGAGGAAGGGAAGATTAGGAGAAACCCAGGACATGGAAGATTTTAATCATTTTGTGGAAGGGACTGGGTTAACTGATGTCAGGTTACGAAATAGGAAATTCACTTGGTATAGACCAGATGGAACTTCAATGAGCAGACTTGACAGATTTTTGCTATCTACAGAAATGAGTTTGTTGGGTAGAGATTGGACTCAAGTTGGTGTTCGAAGATCAATTTCTGATCACTATGCAATTATTTTGACATCAAGACATGTGGATTGGGGTCCCAAGCCTTTTCGAGTACTTGATGCATGGCAACAACATCCAGATTTTCGAGAATTTGTGGAGAATAGTTGGAAGGCTATGCAAATCGAAGGATGGGCCTCATACAAATGTAAACCAAAGTTGAAGCTTTTAAAAGAGGAATGTAAAGGATGGAACAGTGGGGTGTTTGGCAATGTGGAGACTCAATTTGACACCCTAGTAAAGTAGGTTGAAAGGTTGGATAAAAAAAGTGAGGAGGATGAGTTGGAAGAGAATGAGGTGCTATTGAGAAAGGAGTGCTTTCAAGGGATGTGGGATATTTTAAGAAAGAGAGAAGCTGTGTGGAAGCAGAAAGCATGGACTAATTGGGTTCGTTTGGGTGATGCAAATACAGCATTCTTTCATAGGAGTATTCATGCAAGAAGAGCACAAAATGGCATATCTGGTATCTTAGGTGAGAATGGTTGGGTTGAGGAACCGGATGTAGTCAAGGAAGAGGCAGTTAAGTATTTTAGCAAGCTGTTTCGCGATGAGAAGTGGCGTCGTCCTGTCTTGGGTGGGATTCAATTCCATAGAATTTCTGTGATTCAAAAGAAGTGGTTGGAAAGACCTTTCACAATAGAGGAAATTGAAGAGGGTCTTCGAAGTTGTGATGGATAGAAGGCACCAGGACTAGATGGTTTCAATTTTAATTTCATCAAATTTGCATGGAGCACAATGAAGGATGATTTTGTGAATTTCCTGCAGGAATTTCATCGTCATGGGAGGTTAGTTAAAGGTATTAATTCATCATTTTTTATGTTAATCCCCAAAAAATTGAATCCAGTGCAATTTAAGGAGTATCGACCTATTAGTTTGATTGGGTGCTTGTATAAGTTATTGGCGAAAGTCTTGGCGAATCAGTTGAAAAAGGTCATGGCAAATATTATCAGTGATGCGCAATCAACATTTGTTGGTGGACGGCAATTGGTGGACAGTGTGCTGATTTTGAATGAGGTTGTGGATGAGGTAAAAAGGAGAAAACAGGAGAGTTTCATTTTTAAAGCTGATTTTGAGAAAGCTTATGACTGTGTGAATTGGGATTTTCTAGATTGGATGATGGATAGAATGGGGTTTGAGGCTAAATGGAGGAAGTGGATTTGTGAATGTCTCTCGACAACTAGGGTCTCTATTCTAATAAATGGAAGCCCAACAATGGAGTTTAAATCGAGTAAAGGTCTTCGTCAAGGTGATCCTTTGTCTCCTTTTTTGTTTCTATTAGTTGGAGAAGGGTTGTGTGGGCTTGTCAGAAAAGCTGAGAGTGAAGGGCTTTTTCAAGGCATGGATATTAGGACGAGTGGTATGAGTTTGTCATTACTTCAATTTGCAGACGACTCTGTTTTTATGGGAAAGGCATGTGCTAATAATTTAAGGGTCGTGAAGGCTATTTTGCATTGGTTTGAATTGATTTCAGGGCTGAAGGTTAACTTCAGCAAGAGTCACTTGTATGGGTTTAACGTTTCAGAAGGGTGGTTAAAAGGGGCAGCAGCTATTTTGCATTGTGGAGTAGGCAAGGTGCCTTTTATATACCATGGTTTGCCAGTTGGGGGGAATCCGGGGAGGAAAAAGTTCTTGAATTCAGTGCTGGACCATTTTCGATCTAAGCTTGCCTCTTGGAAAAGCCCACTACTGTCCTTTGGAGGTCGGATTACCTTAATTAACTCGGTACTTTCTGCTTTCCCTATTTTTTACTTTTCTTTGTTTAAAATTCCTAAATGTGTGCTTATTGAGTTAGTTAAAATTCAAAGGAATTTTTTTTGGGGAGGTGTGAATTTGGATAAAAAGATTTCATGGGTTAGTTGGGACAGTATATGTGTGGATAAGGAGAGAGGTGGATTAGGAGTGGATGTTTTGGAGAGGAGGAATTGTGCTTTGTTGGGTAAATGGTGGTTTAGGTTAGGAGATGGTTTGGAGGGTTTATGGAAGAGGGTGATTTGGGAGAAATATTATGGGGGTCGAAAAGAGGTTGAAGTTACTTCATTTGCATCTTTAAATATGTCTCAAGTGTGGAAGGACATTGTGAGTGTGGGTAGTGGGTTTGAAAGGCTATTGGAGATGCTTGTGAAGGGCTTTAAATGGAAAGTGGGGGATGGAAGTTGTGTGATTTTTTGGAGTGATAAATGGGTGGGAGAAGAGCCTTTGAAAAATTTATTTCCTAGGTTGTTCACATTGTCTGCAAATAGGGAGGGGTTGTTAAAGGATATGGGTCTTTGGAGTAATGATGGATGGGTATGGGAGTGTAGGTGGAGACATGGGTGTATAGGGAGGGCGGCTGGTGAGGAAGAACAGCTTACGGAGTTGATTAATGGTGTAAAGTTGAAGATAGATGGAGTAGATTCGTGGAGATGGATACATAGTGGAGATGGTTCATATTCGGTTAAGGTGGCGTATGATTTTTTAACACCGAAAGTAAGTATTTTGGATGGGAAGTGGTCCAAAGTTATTTGGAGTAAATATGTTCCTTCTAAAGTAAGTGTTTTTGGGTGGAGATTATTTTTGAATAGGTTGGTCACAAAGGAGAATTTATGTAAAAGAGGGATCGTTTTGTTAGGGGAGGATGTTGGTTGCAGTTTTTGTCATGAGGGGGTGGAGCAATTGCATCATATTTTTTGTGAGTGTAAAGGGGTGTGGATAGTCTGGATGAAGATTTTGGATTGGTGGGGTTTGCAAAGTGTCAAACTAAATAATATATTTGGTTTGGTGGAGTATGTGGTCTATGGAATAGGTGGGGGAAGTTTGAAGGAGTTGGGAGCTCTTATTTTTTTGGTTGGTGCTTGGTTTGTATGGTACTGGAGGAATATCAAGGTGTTTCAAACTGGGTCTATGACTGAAGCTCAGTTAGTGGAGTCTATCCAGGCTAAATCATTTATATGGCTTAAAAATAAAGAATCTGATTGTGTGTTCTCTTATATAGATTGGGTTTCACACCCTATGGATTGTAGAGAAGCCATTGTTCAATACCGTAAAGATTTGAAGAACTACAAGCAGTTACAACGTCTCATGTTATGATTCCTCATTTCTATTTGGTTTGTATTTGGGTTATTGGTTTTCAATTTCTATTTTGTTTTCAGTTGGATTTTGTAGTTCGGTTAGACATTGTTCTGTTATGAAGGAGTATTTCTTATACTCCTACAATAATATGATTTCACTTTGCTGATAAAAAAAAAAAA